AGGAACAAAAACCAACGGAAATTATCACATAAAGGAATTTTTAGTGGCTACTTAAGATGTTTAAGTTAATTTCTTCATCTTTTTGGTAATCAGAAATATTTAATTTTCACTGTTAAATAACATCTTTTAAATCAGGTCATAGAAGTATGCAAAAACCATATATTTATTACCTATTTTTAAAATTTTTATTTTTTTTACATGAGCTCTCATTATTATTATTATTTGCATTACAATTCTTACCTTTTACAGACTCATTTCTTCTAAGAGTTTCTCATGTATTTTCCTTTGAAAAGTTTACTGTGTTAGCTGTTATCTTACATCATTGTCATAGTCCGCGTGAGGTGCCATAACAAAATATCATAGGCTGAGTGACTTAAACAATAAAAATTTTATTTTCTCACAGCTCTACAGGCTAGAAATTCAAGATCAAGGTAACAGCATGATCAGTTCTGGTGAGGGCTCTCTTCCTAGCTTTGTATATGTCTTGTGGTCATCTAAAAGACATATACATCTCCTTGGAGAAACTTTTACTACATCTTCACATGGTGAGAGTATAGAGAGGTAGTTCTCTGGTGTTTCTTTAAAGACACTAATCCCATCATGAGGGTCCCACCCCCCAAGTCCTCATCTTAACTCTAGTTACCTTCCAAAGGCCTCATCTCCAAATATTATCACAGTGGGGATTAGTGGTTTAACATATAAATTTTGGGGGAGGGCACAAATATTTAGTATATTAACATTTACTAACAGAAAAATTGACAATGGTTCCAAATCATTAAATCAATACAAAACTGATTAAAAACAACCAATCAATACAAGTCAACTAAAAACAACTTCCTGAGAAAGCTTCCCTTTTTCTTCCTTGTATAGCAATCTAATTCAACAAGAAAGGAAATTCCTAAAAAAATTTATGAACTCAGTAATTTAAACCAAAGATAGAAACTGAGACATACATGGTTTTGGTGAACACTGAAAAACAGAGCATTAATCTCTCGTTGTGAATATGTTTAATAAAAACAACTATGAATGTTTTATACCTAATTCCTATATCAACTAAATATTTTTTTTGCTTAAAAATTTTTTTATTGACACATAACAATTGTACATATTTATGAGGTACTAAAGATTATTAAAATAATCTAAAGCATTTAGATGTCCTTGGAAAGTAATATAATGTACAATAACATTTCTACATTACATTTTCATAGATATTATTAAAAGGAATAGTAAATTACATATTATTTCATTCAAAATATAGAAAACTGAGCTGGGAAGATAGCTCAGTGGCACAACATGTGGTCTGCATGTGCAAGGCCCTGGCTTTGATCCCTAGCACCACACACACAAAAAAAGAAAACTGAAATAGTGAAACAAAATCGACAAAGTTATAATTGGTTTGTGTTGGATTTCACCTCAACTTTCATACAATGACTTTTAATTTTAGTACATAGTACATAAATTTGAGGGTAAGAGAAATGTGTTTTTCTTAATTGTACACATTACTTCATTACAAAATAAAATGTATATAATCTTTAAAGTATGGTTTAAAAGGCTTCCTTAATGATCATCAAGTGAATAAACAAGGATTTTTCAAATACTTGAGTGGAAGGATGGTAGAAAACAGGATAGAGTGACTGAGCTCTAGAGTTTAGGTGACTTGACAAGGTCATCTGATTAGCATGTTGCAATTATTTACGGGACCCAAGATTTTCTTATCTGAAAATGCTATACATTAGTATATTCAAGAGACAAAGGGGCAAAAAATCTAATTTATAGTCCAGGTCATTTTATACCACAAAATAGCTGTAGGAACTAACTTTTAATTTCTCAAAACTCAATTAGGTGTGTGTATGGTCCATTGGTATCTAGCTTTAATACCTGCCTATTCCCATAAGTGCCATGTTCCACTACAACCCCAGCTTCAGCGCACTTACTGTTTGCAGCTAATTCTTTTTCACAGAGAGATACAAATAGGGAATAAAGTTCTAACCCTTCTTCTTTTCCACAGTTGGAGTGATACTGCATATTTCTTCCTTTTACTCTACCACCAAGGGTGGCTTGAGGGATGATAAGAATGTCTCCAGGTAGATCCAGTACAGAGACGTGCTTGCCATTTTCTGTCTCACTTAATTTCACATTTAATAGTGTATTAACTAGATGGGGAAGAAAGGCAAAACAATTTGAAGTGAAAAACAAACATGAAGAAGAAACATCAGTCTTTTAGTTAGCAAATCTCATGTTGAAAACCCAGTTTGTTAGCTCTTGCTCCTAAACCACTCTCTATTTAAATTTTAAAAAGTGCTTCACTAAACTAAATGAGCATGAAAAATAAAGCAAATTTCATGGAGAAAACTGCATGATGTTTAAAATTTGACTTGACAGCTAAGATTATCTAACAATAAGTCATCTAGAAAGTTCAAGAATTAACTGTAAAATGAAACCTTAAATATTGTTGTCTCAGGGGAATACATGGCAAGATTTTATCTTCCTGTTCCTTTTATTTCATAAGCAAATCCCACTGGAAAAGAACATTATAAATCCTTCTCAGAAAATTCTGCTCTGTAACAAAATTAAAATTTTAGTACACTGGGGCTGGAGTTGTAGCTCAGTGGTATAGCACCTGTCTAGCACATGTGAGGCACTAGGTTTGATCTTTAGCACTATGTAAAAATACATATATAAAGGTATTTGTGTCCATCTACAATTAAAAAATATTTTACTTTAAACTTTAAATTACCTAGAGTTTTAAGATATGACAAAGCTTCCAGGTTCAATCTCATTACAAAAAAGCTGATTTTATAGTTTCATAACCTTAAAGGCACAATTAACATAGACTAACCATTTTATAAATATAACCCATGGGAGAAACACAGGTGAAATTCATTGTCAGAAATGAAAAAGTAACTCAAAGATATGGCTACTAGCATTATCTTTGTATACATACAATAAAACAGTGATATTTTATAGCATTTATGAGACTATAGCTAATAAGTGTCAAAACCACTATAAATATCTAAGTGTAGCTAAACCCTACAGTTAGAAAACCTTTACACCTCAACATTAACCATTTTCAAAACAATAAATAAGTGTCTAAAATAGACTCAGTATCTCCCTACTTCTATAAAGGTATAAATGAATTCTGCTTGCAAAGAAAAGTTCTAAGACAACAAATGATAAAAGAAACCTTACATTCCTGCCCTCAAATCAGATTTTAAAAGGTATGCTTCCAGTTTTGAGTAGTCAGTGATTTTGATTATAGGAGGATTTATAGGAAACATTAGTAAGGAGTTGGTATGGTGACCCCACTCTAAACATTATAAAATAAAACCTTGTAAAAAACTGCCAAGGTAAACACGCAAAGAAATTCCCAAGCTATGCTTTAAGCACCTTCAATTTTCACTTAACAATCACTTATTTTTAAATGCCTTTAATTTTGTCTATTACAAATCGAACTTTACTATATAGCCAGCAATCCTATTGACCGCTTCTAAGGAAACTATAACTATCCAGAGCACTTCTTTCCAATGAAAATCACTATCCAGCTATGCAGGCCTCTGGCTACGGAGAGACTAAGTAGTCAATTTTGGAATAACAGGCAATGGGATGTAATATAATTTATTACACTTCCCCACACCTCCCTCTACTGGTTATTACTGGGAATTCAATGCTGAAGGTATACAAATATGTATATATAAGTACAATACAAATGCAAATATAAGTAAGTAGAATTAAAATGAGACAATGTATTAAATGCATGTTGGAAACTCAAAGATCCTAAGACAGGTTATCAATCAAGTATCTTCAATGATGTATATAGGAATCAAGCTTTGACAGATCCCTGGATCTCAGTTCAATTATATTAAAGATGAATTGAAGACGATTCTACACATCTCTATATTGGATATGCTATTTCAGATTTTAGGATATAACTAGTTATGTTCCCATGGGATGAAATATTAGATTGGAAATATCTGAATCTATGTAATAAATATGAGGTGGGATTTAAGAGAATCCCAAAACATTGGCTTACTATGCCTCCTGGAATACAGGGAAATACAAACTAATGCTATCAATATGGATGCATTTATTTTCCCTGTAACTCAGACCATCAGAATGAGAGTCATACAGCTCTTTACTGTAAATCATGAAGTTTTGTGTTAGATTATTCACTAAAAGAGTCAAGGCAGGCCTCCTAAGCATTTTTAATTCACCACAATCTTATACATGTATTTAAAGTGCACTCACAATTATAGACACAGACAGAAGCACATAGGATTTAATCATTATAAAACAAAACAGAGCTTGAATTTGGTGGACTTAATTTGTGCTGTTATGATAAAGATCTATTTACAACTCTATGAGAGGGCCTGGAGACGTAGCTCAGTGGTAGAGTGTTTACCTAGCACGTACAAGGCCCCCTGGTTCAATCTCCACTACTGGAAAAAAAGTGAAACAAAACAAAACAAAAATCCCCAAAACATCTCTATGAAACAACTTTAGAAAGTTAGCTTTAAGTCAGAACGACAAAATATTTTCTCATTTTCTTCTTAAACCCTTCGAAATTTCCTTATTATCCTCTGGATTCAAATTTCAAACTTAAAAGTTACTAGCTTTCCATCTCACTCATCACAGTCCCTTCTTCTTTTTTTTTTTTTTAAATTGTTGATGGACACAATAACTTTATTTTATCTATTTTTTTAAAATGTGGTGCTGAGGATCAAACCCAGTGCCTCAGGCATGCAAGGCACGTGCCCTACCACTGAGCCACAACCCCAGCCCTCATCACAGTCCCTTCTTAAGCATAGTTTCATGCTTTGACATACTTGTCAAACATGTTTGATCTATGAATATAAAATTCCCTTCATTAGCTTGACTTTTTGTCAAGCTATTTGTCCTTGAGTTCTACTATGTGAACCTCTTCTAGATTAACTTCTGCAAGCTTCAACTACTCATTTGTGTAATTTCATTTTTTCTTTCTTTCTTTTTTTTTTTTTTTAAAGCTTGAGACAGGCTCTTGCTATGCTGCCTAGGCTGATCTCAAACGTCTAGACTCAAGCAATCCTACTGAGCAGCTGGAACTACAGGTACATGCCACTGTGTTCAGCTTATACTTACTAATCCAAATAATGGGTGCTGTCCCTCAATCTTCGGAATAGCTCCATTATTTCATATCTATGAAGTACACACAAACACACACACACGCATATTTGTTAGAACTGTATTTGAGACATGCTGCATTGAGACAGCATGTTAGTTGATTTGGTACATCTGAACCTATATAATTATCATAAGGAATGTGCAGTGCTATGAATTATCCAGGATTTTTAAAAGTTGCAGGCAAAATTTTTCAGAGGTCCTTAAACATTTATTCTGCTTTCTATGGAGCCAGAGGAGTTGTGGCTGAGATAACATTGAATTCGGTTCAAGAACCAGAAGAACTGTATTTAAACATATTCCTACAAAGAAGTACATAAATGATCAATGTAAGTTCTTTGATAACAATGATGTAAATCTGAACTGTCCAGGTTTGATGGGATTCATCCTGTGTATACAGTGTCATACACTGCTTGTAATGGACTCTTCTGTTATCTGGGGATAATGGAAACTATATTAAGAAACACAGCATCTGTTTCTCCCTATGTGGCCACCCTGCTTCTAACAACTTTCTGTATCCTTGGCTGAACTGTGTGTCTACTCTTCTAAATCAACCTATAAGCCATCTGAAATGTTGTAGATGTTTTAAAAGAATTCTACCATACATGCACACTTTAAATTTTGCAACAGGCAAAAAAATAAGCCAACAATACTACACAGAGTTGAATAATAACATATATTAGGACAAATAAGATTGTGCTTCTTGGTTGGGGATGTAGCTCAGTGGTAGTGCTTTCTCAGCATGTGCAAGGCCCTGGGTTCAATCCCCATCACCAGGGGGAAAATAATTGTGCTTCTCTCTCTCTCTCTCTCTCTTTTTTTTTTTTTTGGTCTATTGCTGTTCTTTCTCCATCTTCAAAAAAAGAAAAAAACATCAAACACATACCCATTTTTGGAAGAAGTTCTTTATCAGCTCCCTTGAAGAAGCACACATAGATCACTAATCCTCTCTGAACCTATAAGAAATCATCACAGAAAGCTCAGATTAGAAAGAAGTCTATACAGAGCTGTAGAGGTAAGTGAATAAAATTTTATAACTGTTACAAACTTGGAGGTTCAAATCAAAGAAAAGAAAGAAGACTTACAATAGATTTGATTTCTAAATGAATATATGAGAAAATGAAATATTTTAAAGTTTCAATCAAAATTATTTTTCAAAAAATTACACTTAAAATACAACCAACAGGGTTGGAGTTGTGGCTCAGTGGTGGAGCACTTGCAGGTGCTACGGGTTTGATTCTCAGCACCACATAAAAATAATAAATAAAATAAAGGCATTGTGTTCATCTATAACTAAAAATATTTTTTAAAAATACTACCAACAGCAATTTACCTCTACTAAAATCAATAGGACTTTCAGACAGCCTCCTCCCTAGTAAGTAAGGATGACAAACTTAAGAAATATTTATATAGCAGGGCCCATTTATTCAACACCAAATGAATTCATACTCTATCAGATAGGAGATAAATAAGCAACAGTGTAACTGATGTCTTTTTATATCATCCTCTTTATTCCCCCTAATTCGCTTACTTGTATAGTGAAAACAAGGTATAAATTCCAGGAAACCCTGATTATTTTTTGTTATTGTTGTTATTGCTTTAAATATAATTATTAACATTTGTTAATAACTTCTACATGACAAGGTTGGTTGTTATCAGGAGTATAAAAAATAGCTCTTGTAAGAGACCATAAGAAAGAATAATTTTGATTCTGCTGCTGAGTTAACTGTTCAACTTTTGATTCTATGTATTAACTTAATTGATTAAGGAGCCTCATTGACTCTAGAAGTTATTATGGAGATTAAATGAGTTAATATTTGTAAAGTGCTTAACACAGTGCCAGGTTCATAGTAAATACTACCTGTTTATTATGAGAATATATAAATAAATTTAAAGGCAAACACACAATTTATTTAACATTTTAACTTCCAAAGCACTTTACAGATAGGACTGTTTTATATATGATAGGACTCAATTTATCTGTTAATTGTATTAACATTCAACTGTATCTTCTGGGCTCTATGTGTTATCTAAATGGTTTTCTATGTAAATATAAATGCAGCTCTGCAATCATACTTGATTTACCGGAAAAGGAGTCATTTTAAAAAAATGCAAATGTGCCCCTGGATCAAAAGCAAGAGCCTCCCATGAATACCCATAATGATGGGCTGGCAAGCTACACTACTATCACAAGCCTTTTCACTGAGCCCAAATCTTTAGCATTCACAGCTGTACACTTGCAATGTCAGAATTAAGCACCTAATAATTCCCAGAAACAGATATCTGTTCTTTCCAGTAACCAAATTACCTCCTCATTATTTTCTTTTTGTTTATTCCAATAATAGGTCTGAAGTTATAATATATAGATTCCTTTTTTGGGATGTGTGTGTGGGGTGGGGTTATGGCTCAGCAGTAGAGCGCTTGCCTCAGACATGCAAGGTCCTGGGTTCGATCCTCAGTACCATGTTAAAATAAAGTTATTGTGTCCAACTACAACTACAAAAAATAAGTATTAAAAAACCAGATTCCTCTTTTCAAGTCAAAGTCACTTTCCTGTAGCTTCTTTGTTACAAAACATTTCAAATATGAAGAAAAGTACAGATAATTCTCACAGTAGCTTAAAAATGTTCAATTCCCAGGAAGAAAAACATTAAATTTGTGACAGCATAGTTCCACATGAATGAAACTAAGAACAAGCAAAGCAGCTTTCAAATCTTTCAACATCTAAAAGGCTATTTCTAAAAAAGAAAAAAAAAAAAGAACTTTGATAATGGAACAGGGTAGAGGAGGTGTGAGAAAGATGAAAGAATTTATGCTTTCTCACCATGTAATCACTTGTCATCTCTTTAATATAGTTGTGTGTGGGAGAAGGGAAGTCTTTAAAAATAGCTTTTAAAGTTTATAAACACAAACTGATAGCTTGGAACGCTGCAATAAAATATCTCTGGTTTTGCATAAGAAAATGTGGTGTGAAGAACATAAAAAAATAAAGAGGCTCAGAAATACTCTAAATGATAAGTTAGAAGTTTACAGTGCCAGGAAGCAACAATTTAAATAGGTGAGTCTCTAGATATAAATATAAAATATATAAATATAAAACCCACACAATTTCAAATATGCAAGAGAAATTAAAACCTCAACAAAAGGTTACAACAAAAATAAGAAATAGGAAGAAGAATTTCTGAAGAGAGGTGAGAATACAGGAATTTTATGCACATAAAAATTCCCAAATTAGCATAGGATAATAGATTCTGACTTAAAAATAATTACCCACGCATCATAGTTCATGTGTAGTGTTTAAAATAATGACTAGGATTGTTAAGAAATGCTAGGTCTGGGACCCAATTCAGAGATCAGTGAATGAAATTTTACAACATTAAAGATTCTGAGTATCACCCAAAGTCTTAATTATGGACTTCCCCGGCTTATATTTTAACTTACTCCGCATATATGACTAAGGACTTAAAAAACATTTTACTTGTTTTTGCAATGTAATGGGAGACAGGACATCAAGAAAAGGCAGGTAGGCAGGTAAGCAAGTAGGGGGAATTCAACGTAAACATTTCATAATTCTTTGGAGGAAATGTGTTTGATAACAGTGCAACATTATTATACAAGGAGTGATCTATTTTAGGTGGAAATTAGTGAAATTCAAATAAACAAACAAAAAATGTTTCTTGGGTTGGGGATTGTAATTTAGTGGTAGAAAGTTTGCCCAAGCGTGGGAGAAGCCAGGGTTCGGATCAACCAGCAAGAAAAAAACAAAACAATATAAATAAATAAATAAAAACTTTCTTGAAAGAGCACTGTGTCTTGGAAAATATCATTTCTGTGCTAAAGTCAAGACACAATCAACATAATAAGGTGGGGCATAAATCAAAGTAGATCTGAACTCTTGAAGCAAGCTAACCTACACACTTGAACCAGTCCAGCTCCGCCCAGGCCAGAGCAGCAGGGCGTCTGAAACTACTAGGCCTCTAGTCCACCGAGCTCAGGTACGGGGACTGAGAGAGGTTCAAATGAACGCGGTCTCTCCAGTAGAGAGGCACTTTCTTCCTCGTCGGAATGTCTGGCGCCGGGAACAGTGGTGCTGGACAGAAAGGTAAAGCGCTGCCAGTAAGACCGCCGGGGCAGTGTCTGGCGCACCGGCCCGAAGTCCGGCGCAGCGCATAGCACACGCCGCGGTACCTAGCTGCTCTCCTACTCGGTTCCAAGGAGGACCCGTGGGGGCGGGGACCGAGTGACCGAGACAACGCGTAAAGAACGGCCCTTGAGCGCCGTAGGATAACGAGAGCTGCCGGGCCGACGTTACCTCCACCCACTGGGCCGCAGCGTCCCCCTCAGCTGGGCGAACTTGTAGTCGTGCGTGCAGGCACTGCTGCAGAAGCGCCCGAGCCTGAGGCGTCCGGCAGCCGTCAGCCATGGCTCGAATCCGGGTTGCTGTCGTTGGGATTCAGGCCGCGCGCCGATTAGGCCCCGCCCCCGGGGAACTGGCTGGAACGGCGAGGGGGGCGGGGCGACGGAACAGCCCTTGCCTTCCGCGGCTCCGCCCCCTGGAAGACGAGGAAGGGGCTTTCGCTAGGGTGTCCCGGATGTGCAGGCTTCAAAAACAGCCCTAAGTCCCTCCGCAGAACCTATCCAACTCTGTAGAAGGCGCTCAGTGTATACTCTTAAACGACTGGATCTCTTTCCTTTACATCTTTTCAAGAAACATTTTCACTTCAGAAAGCTTAGGCTTCCAGATGTTGAAAAACTTTAAATCTGCTTAAGTCTTTATTATGCTTATTATGAAGATAAATAGAATAAATCAAATGAATCTCAAAGCAAGCAGAGATGGAACTAAAAGCTATAAATCTTTCAGGTTTTTTCGTACCTCAATCAATGAAACAGTGTTGCTTCCTCTATCAAGAATGCTGCCAAATCACTCTGATTCCACAGTTGCAAAAGGGTACTGTCATGCTATGTGAATATACATTTAAGTATCGATTCTTTAGGAAATATCCTTGATAGCAATATTCTTATCCGAGGAAATGTGGTTGTTAATAAGTTATTTAATCTGCTACTAATACAAAAATAAAACAACACATGATGTATTTATTAATTCTGTGATGCATTTTCTGTAAGTACATGTTACAGTGTAAATCAAAGTAAACAAAGGTTTGATTTTCTTTCCCACACAACACATTCCTTAAACTTGCATCAGATTAGCATTTATTTCTACAGGATTGGAGGGTTCAGACAAGAAATAATAGTGTTGCTCTGATGGCATTACCTAGGTCATTGATTTGGACCCAGTTGGCACAATATGCCTATACATTCGGGTCTGTTCTAGAAGATGACATCACTGACGGGTATTGCTATCCCTACAAAGCAGTGTGACTGAAGAAAATAATCCATGCATAATCAGTGGTCCTTTATGCACAAAATTGAACCTGCTTTTTGCTTGTTATCCTGAAGGCTGCCTTACGCTTTTAATAAAAACAAAAAAGCAAAATCTCAGATTGTCTCAACTGCTGAATTACAGGGCTTCCAACATTTGTTGATAATTACGCAGCACAGACACGTTGAATTGCTTAATGTCTGCACTTTTATATCATTAAAACTATTGAGTCTCTATTCTTACTCAATCTCAGACCCAGATTTTATATCTGGAAGGAAATTTACCTAGAGATTGCAGCCATGACCTAGAATAAGAGAGGACTTTTGTGTCTATTTACATATGGTTGCAGGAGATAGAAATCTATTGAAAATAACAAAAATGATGCCAAAAATCTTCCCACAAGGAGGGCCTGTAATAAATTGGAAGCATTTCCTGTGAATGAATGAAGTTTGGTTGGTAATGGTTAGATTTTCAAAAATCATCAACTGCTTTAAATCTTCCCATTGGATAAGAATCACTGGATGTTGTGGTAGGTAATGCAATAGTTTGTGACTCACTTATTCTTTCCTCCTACCGGCAGAGGGCAGTAGAGTAAGCACCCCAAAGCATGGCTTAAATGTTTTATTTTATGAAAC